CTACAAAGGTAAATTGATGTTAGATTTTTTAAAATTTAAAAAAAAAATTAACAAATTTTTTTATTAGAGCATACCTACAATAAGGTTTTAGAAATAATAAATGATATGATTAATGTCTATCTCTCTTCCTTATTCATGATGTGGTTCTGAGTTTCAGCAACAGCATCATATATCACACCCAATTCCTCAGATTCAGATTTCTTGAATCTGGATTTCTAAAGCAAAAAAAATTTAACCAATATCTTTCAAATCATTTTCATCTTCTATATATCTAGATCTAAGAAGGAATCATCATTGAAAGTGACATTCTAAACTGTGCATTAAAATGTAAGAAGGTGAACTATACATTAAAAAATATGATAAAAAAATATAACCTTATCTTCTGGTGTATATGGCTGTTCTATGTCAACTTTCTCAACCTGATTTTCTTCTACTGTTATAATTTTCTGAGTCACTTCTATAAAATTTTTAGCAATTTATTGAAGAAATTTTAAACTTCCCCTAGACCTAGACGGATTCTGATAAATATCTGTGATTTTTTTTAAAATAAAAAATAAAAAAACATTAACTAATAATTTAAAAAATTAGGCTTATCTTCGATACCTTCTTTATTATTTTTAACATAAAATTCTTCAGTCATATTTTCTCAGAAGCAGTAAAGACTGGCTTTTCTCTAATTACAAAATTCACTATATTGGGAATGCGATGAAATTTAAAATACTAATTAATGGCATTTTAAATGTTTAAAGTTTAACTCAATTTGGATTTAAATTAGCAATCCATTTGTAGCAATAGTAATACCAGAACTATCTAAGCTTGCTGATCCAGACAAGTCATCACCAAAAACCAATATCAAAACTAACCCCTTTACTGCTTAGAGATTCTCAGTCACAGTCTCTTCTATCAAACTTTTTGCATTCTAAAAAATAAAAATTTTTTTTTAAAAAATAAATTCCAATTCACAATTTCTGTGATATCAGTGTTTAATTAAAATTCGCATAATTTTTATTTTTATAAAAAACATTATGGAGACCAGTTTTCTTCGATAAATTAGTTTTTGTATGAAACTGGATTATTACAATTTGGTTTACTAAAGAAAATGATCTATCAGTTTCTGATCATGTAACTGGCTTAGAGCACTATATATTCATATATTTTTTGTTATTCTTTTACTCATATATGGCTGAAAATAAATTTGACTAAGCAAAATGGCTATAACATTTTTAATATGATTTATGGTTTACAATTCTGATGTATGATTATCTTAATCACCTTATTTATATATTTTTAACATATGATTTTAAAAAAAATCTAATCAAACCAATATGTATATCCTTTTTTATTATTATTTTTTTATTGTTTTTAATAAAAAAGAAAAAAGTAAATAAAGATGTAAATAAAAAATAATAAAGAAAATTTACTATATGATGATACTCATATATAATAAATGATTTTTTTGTATTAACTAAAATATTTCATTTATTTAAATTTAAAAAAAATTATTTAAAAAAAACTTAAATTTTGAAAAATAGAAAAGCTTAAATACTAAAAAAAAAGAATTCAATGTGCTTTGATGTCTGCTAAAGTACTACTATCTATTATATGATAAGTTATACTGATTATTTAATGAGAAAATACATAATCAAGTATATTATTGCAATTGCAAGATTAAGCAAAAATAATTAAAATGTAGTATATCTTTATGCAACAATATGCATTTTATATTTTTAATGGAATTTCATTGGAATTGAAAAACCTAAAAGATTTTAAAAGAATTAAAAGATTTTGTTTTTCTAATAAGTTATATACTTCTAATCAAAATTTTGTACTATTAGAATTAGCTATTAAAAGATTCTAATACTACTTTCAATACTATTTTAATCATAGATAATCAATCATAAATTATTTTAAATCTTATATAATTTAAAAAATTTTTATAAAAATTTTTTTATCATTTAATGCAATATATTAAAATTATTGGTAAACAAAATAATTGGAATAACTTTGCTATTTATTTTATATATTCAGAAATTTAGAAGAAAATGAACTCTTAAAGCATACAGTCAACTCTTATTATAATGAACTCTATATTCTAAACATCAACTTCACTATAAGGTTATAGTGAAGATTTTAAGAGATTTGATTAGCCAATTCATTATAACAAGAGTATTTTTATTATATTTGTTCAAAAAATTTGTTATATCAAGAGTTCGCTATATCAAGAGTTGACTGTACATTTATAAATAAAAATTATAAGTAAAAAAGCATTTAAATAATTGTAGATACTTTCTAAAAAAAATTGGTAGTCAAGAAAAAGTAGATAGTATTATAAATTTAATAGATAATGAAAATGAAGAAATTGTAAAGCAAAAATACTTTAAAATTAATTCAGATTTTAGTAAAATTAGAAAAGAAAAAGTATTCAAATACTTAGAATCTATGTAAAATAATTTTGATACTATATTTCTTAATTTTTCAAAAGGAAAAATATCTTCAGTTTGATTTTGTACTTTATTATTATCCAAATGTTATCTTTATCTAGTTAAAACTAGTATAATGGAAAATATTCTTATTTAATTCCTTAAAGGACTGAATAAGGTCAGGTTAACCTATTTACCTAACCTGATCTGATCTGATCTGATAAAATTTAGGTTAACCAATTAAATTATATTATAGATAAAATCTCTTAATTGTCATTAAATTTTAGATAAAATTATATTAAAATTATAATAAGGGATATGATGAAACTCATTTGATATGATTAACTATCAAAAAAAATTATATTAAAAACTTAATAAAAGAAATAAAATTATTTTGAAACAAATATTTATAAATAGATAGTATATTATTTATATAATATTTATTTAAAAATAGTAAAAAAAATAAGCAACTAATTAAACAAAGAAAATAAAAATTTATTAAATTTATTATAATCAATTAAAATCAAACAAATTAAATATAATTCTTTTATTTTATTAATATATAAATATAAAAAATAATAAAATATATAAAAATAAAAAATATAATAGTTTATAAAATAAATAAAAATAAAAAAAATTAATTTTTTATAACATTAACTTCTTTTTCTATTACTTTAGCAGTTTTTTTTTTAAAGTAATTATGCTAGTATATTGAACATCACTTTTACTTAAGTTTAACTGTATCATATACAGTTTGTGTTAACTAACACTATATTGAATTTGATGTCATTTTAATAGCAATACTATATTCAAGATAAATAAAATATTCTTCTTTAATCATACTAATTTTATAAACAAATCCTATAGTAAACTCTGATTGATCTTTATCCTTATATCCTGCAGTTTTATAAGTTTTTACACAAAATACTGCATCTATTTTCTAATTATTATTTATATTTATTTTTGCTTAAATACTTTATATGATAGTACTGACCATGGTATATAATCTTCTGCATTTTTATATAACTATTTTCTAAAATTATCTCTATCTTTATTATATATTCTTTGTATCTTTAGATCAAGATTTTTATTTTTATATACATATAAACTAATAATAAATGGATCTAAAAAATTTGCACAAAGATCATGACTAATTAATTTTTATGAATCAGTATGTGTTTTTATCCATGATTAATTCTAGAATAGGCATCTTCTGTAAGTTTTATTTTAAGTCTAAAATAATTCACAATATTCTTTTTTGCAATATTATAAATTACTTTACCAACAATTTTATTATTACATTTTAAAAGAACTGATTGATTTTCATTAATAATAATCAAGTCCTTTTCTTTTTCAATATCTTCATAAATAATGAATTTATGAAGATATTTTTCAGCTAAATCTAATCTATGATTTACAGTCTGTAACATAAATATCTAGAATTTTATTAGTAATACAAAAAAATCCCTATACTACCAATTTATGTTCGATCAAAACAAAAATCAAAATAGCAATTTTTTAGCTATTTATAGATATAAAAATAATGTTACAAAAATTTATGTGATTATTTATCAACAAAAAACTTAATCTATAATGCATTCAATAATTTTTCATAACAAATAATGTTTCAATGATCAATTGACTCGCAAACTCCTCTAATTTGAATCTAATTGAGAATTTATGGGTTATTCTTAAACGAAAAGTAGAAGAAAGGGTTAATAATTAGATTAGGAAAAAATGTGCTTAGTGCAATTGCTTTTTAGGGCATAATTCGACAGGAATAGGATAATATTGATCAAAATATTTTCTTTAATTTGGCGGATAGTATGTTAGGTTAGATTAATAAAGTTATAGAAAAAAAAGAGCTTACAATTAATTATTAATTTTTTTTATTTTGTTAATCTGTATATTATAATCTATAAATAGTATAAATATGAAACTAATAAAATAAGATTTACAATATTTTATCTGTCACGATAAATTTCAGATATTTATATCGCAGACTGTATATTAAAATTATATATTATTTTAATAATTCTATCAAAACCTTTGGAAAGAACTTTGATTCAATTTTGCTAACTTAAAAATAAATCTTTACAAAAATTTTTATTTTTATTTTTAGTTATATATCTATTAAATGTAGATACAGAATTCTATTAAATTAATAATAAATTAAAATAATTAAATAAATAAAAAAATAATTAATATTTAATATTATATTTAAAATTCATTAAATTCTAATAAAACTTAAGTTAGCATATACTAAAAGTATATGTAAGAGGAAATATATGACACTAAAGCCATATAGATATAAAATTATATTACAAATCATGTAATTTGTAATTTAATCTTAATAGTAATCAATTCATATATTTAAAAGTATATTCCTATAATTTAGAAAATTGAATACACTTGTTTTTTGCATTTTAGCATTAATTTTTCACAAATTAGAGATTTGATAATAAGCTCTTGTTCAATTATTTTACTTAAAGGATTGTAATTACTTATAAAATCAATAACTTAGTTACTAATTAACTATGCTTCAAATCTATCTTATTTTCTAAATATAATCATATGTCATTCATGACTAAATTTATTTAAAATCTTACATATTTTTTGTAATAAATCTTTGAAAGAAGATATTGTAAAAATTATATTGAAGAAAAATATATAATTTAAAAAAAATATAGTTTAAGTATAGAAAAAAATTTAATAAGATAATTTTTTTTCTTTTTTTTTTTAAAAAAAAAAAATGAATTTTATATATACCAATTTCAATTTACAATAAATGCATATATGCATTAATATTAAAACTGATATAAATTATTAATTAAAACAATTAAAATAATAATACATAATTTTGTTTGTTTCTATAGTAATCCACAATTATGTCAGCTAAAAAATACAATTAATATTAATTTTTATTGTTCTGAAATTAGAACTTTGATTAAAAAAAATATTTATCTTTTTGACAAAAATAAATATTTTATATAAAAAAAAACTGATCAAAATCCTATATAAATACTATCTTAAAGTTCAAAAATCAGTTCAAAAAAAAAATAAAAAAATAACTAATTAAGAATATTTAAAGTTTTTTTATTTACTAATAAATTGAGCAGAATTTAAATATTAAAGGTGAAATTTTAAAAAATTAACTGCTTAGTTAAAAGAAATAGGACAAGGTTTGAATTTTTTTTTTAAAAAACATTTTTGATTGATT